AAAGGAAGGATACGAGGATAGCTGGATTTAATGGCTACATGGCGTAGATCTTTTGTCGGTTGGCTAAGTCATGTACCTTCAAATGGGTGATATAGCGACCCTAGGTATTAAGCTTGTTAGGCTTGTGTGATGCCTAGTTTGTAAGAGTGTGTATGGGTGTGTACGACGCCGCGTCCTATATACATATTTATTAATACATAGCATTTTAAAGAGATAATACAAACAGAGGTGGTGAGGCTCTGGGAGCCGAAGCTCCCCAGAATAGGAGTATAAGTCAAATAAATGGCAACGCGCACCAGACTAGCCGGTGCGATCATGCGTTTTGTGCAATTCAGTCCATCGAACGATTGCCTATTAATGATTTTCAATGCTTTGTACCTTAGTCTATGCAAAAATAGTTCAAACATTGGAAAACAGTTAGAAATTTCACGCATCAGCGTATGAAAGCTGAATTCGAAACCTTGAAGGATGAATGTCTTTCCGTAATTCCCGAGTTAATAGTTTACCCGTCAAAACTTTCACGAGGCCGTAGTTGGTATCCGAGATCGCGAGAACGCTGAATTTGAATGGGCAAGGTTGATGGTGGGCAGAGGGTCATTACCCTAAAACTTCAGCCTCCTAGACTCCGTAGTTCCCGAGATATTAACTTACTCGTGAATAACTTCCACAGGGCCGTACGTGTTACCCCCGGGTAAGGGAAGGCTGAATTTGAATGGGCAAGGTTGATGGTGGGCAGGGGGTCATTACCATAAAATTTCAGCCTCCTAGACCCCGTGATTCCCGAGATATTAACTTACCCGTAAAATACTTTCACAGGGCCGTACACGTTACCCGCGGGTACGGGGAAGCTGAATTTAAATTTGCGAGGTCACACGTGGGTGGGGAAATTTACCTTAAATTTTCAGCTTCCTAGCTTTTGTGGTTCCCGAGTTGAAAGTTGCGGACAAGTTGCTGCCCCTTAAATTTTCAGCTTCCTAGCTTTTGTGGTTCCCGAGTTGAAAGTTGCGGACAAGTTGCTGCGTTAAATTTTCAGCTTCATAGCTTTTGTGGTTCCCGAGTTGAAAGTTGCGGACAAGTTGCTGCGGGAAACGTTACCCTAAATTTCCAGCTTCCTAGCTTTTGTGGTTCCCGAGTTGAAAGTTGCGGACAAGTTGCTGCGGACACAAACGCACGCACAGACAACCCCGTAACAATATGCGTTTTGTACTGCTGTTACACAGCACAAAATGCATAATAAAAATAGGTCGCTGTGGTGGATGAATAGTGGCGATCCCGGCGATGGGAGAAGTGCTTTTATACCCCAAGGGACAAAGATCGGAAGTTCAATGAGAGTAGGGTGGCCAAAGTTTGAACCAGGGGTATTGCATCACAGTAACGCAGTTGTTCTTTAACCTACTTGTAACAAAAAGCATTAATCATTATTTGATCTATTACACGACAGCGGGGGAGGGGAAGAGGGGGTTAGGGAAGGATAATGGGTGGAAAGGAGGAGGAACTGTGCTGATGGTTTTTGGCATTGGATATGTACATGTTCAACAGTGCACTATGCGTACACTTTTTTGAGGGTTTACGTTGAATTTTTAGGGTTACACTTCAGCACGGATTTTTCGTTGAATTGACTGTTTTTCGTTCTTAATTTTTTGGATTTTTGAGATGTTGTTGTTCAATTGTACCTCACCAACATTATCATTAAAAAATGGCCAAAAAAGAGTTTATAATATTTTTAGAAAATCGGAATTCACAAAATGGACGATGAGGAATATATGAAACCAATTCTGCCAACAGTGCCCGAAAAATGCGGCCCCCCGGTAATCCCACTGGGACATCTTATCGAATTCGCTGTCCAGCAGATCTTTCACGAGCTCACTGTACTCTCCGAATTGTTAGTTTTTTTTTTCTGATTTTTTTTTTCCCCGTTTTTCCAATTTTTCGATCGTTTTTCCTCCTTTTTTCCCTCTTTTTTTCAAATTTTTCGGTTACTTTCGCCCTCTTTCTTCCCCCTTTTTTCCCCATTTTCCCCCTCTTCTTCCAATTTTTTGGTTACTTTCACTTTCTTTTTCTTCTCTTTTTCCCCATTTTTTGGTCATTTCTTCCCTATTTTTCCCCGTTTTTCCCCATTTTCGGTCATTTTTTCCCTTTTTTCCCAATTTTTCCCGCCTTTTTTCCGTGTTTTCCCTTTTTCCCCACTTTCGATCACCTTTTCCCTGATTTTTCCCCATTTTTCGGTCATTTTTCTCCTTTTTCCCCTTTTCCTTTGTGTCATCAGTGTATGCTTTTTTTTCTTTTGGAATACTGGCAAGTTCGGGGAGCAGCAGGGAGAATACAGTTTTGAAATGTTACGAAGCTGTATTTTCGTTTTCTCCAAAAATTTCTAAGGTTTTAAAGATTACCTGTATATGTAGTATGCTACATGGTTGTCTTCATTTCCCCTCTTTACTTCCTCACTCACTCTTTTGCTCATTCACTTATAACTCTCTTTCTTTCTCTTCTCCATCTTACAAATTAGTTACATGACTATTCAAAACATGGCAGATGGGAGGCTGTACTGATGATTCCCGCTCCTACCCACATGCATAGTTCGGTCTGTGTACACAGCTAAGGGATGAAACACAGACTTATTAGATAGTAAAATGTCCTTCGGCACTTGAAACTTAAGACCGATCTTTCCATTCTACTATTTCAGGCTACCAAAGAAACTGGATTCGGATCGAAAAATCAGTATTGTACAGTTTGCACATTCAACACGAACTCTGTTCATCAAACTTCTTGCCGTGGTAAAATGGGTGAAATCGTCGAAAAAATTCGAATCCTGTTCTGTAAGTTATTTTTTTTTTTTTTTCAAATTTTTGTTAACTTTTTTTTCGAATTCTTAACAGTTGCGATTGTTTCTGGTTTTGAGGTAAAGCTAAGCGTTAGTGCCTTTTTTGTGTTTGCCCTGATAGCAGAGACTGATTATCCTGGTTAAATCAGCCAACTTTTTTTGAGTATTTGCGACTAATCGTTGATATGCCAATCCAAGTAGCACTTGTCTCGTCCTCATACTTTGATAAAAACCATCAGGAATACACATTTTTATACCTTAAAATGCGTGTACGGTTTTTATTTATATATACAAAATAATTGGCCAACGCACGGGCTGCCCGTGTGAAGATACGTTTTTTGCATAGCAGATTTTTGTCTCTAATGGCACTGGTTTTTCCAGCAGATGCTTCTAGATAAAAGAATTTCAGACTGGCCACCAGAACTGTCAGGAAGCATCCCTTCAACATTCCAGTCTTCTAGCTTCTCACGTTCTCGAGTTAGCAACTTATCCGGAAGAAACTTTCACGGGCCCGTACGTAGGTACCACGCTTATCCGCGAGCAGGCTTTGAACTCGTTAATATCCACTTGGACAAGGAACATCCCCCTAAGATATCAGCGTTCTAGCTTCTCAGATCCCCGAGTTATAAACTTACTCGAAAAAAATTTTGGCTGGCCCGTGCTCGGATACCACGCGGGTGATGGCGCCCATTTTGGGAATTGGGGCCGGCACGTGCATGTAGATTAAGTCTCCAAAATTTCAGCCCTGCAACTTTCATAGGTCTTGAGATGAAAGTGTGTGACAGATGCACACACGGACGCACAGACAACCTCTCGCCAATATGCGTTTTTGCACTGCATAGCTGCAAAAAATGCATAAAAAGAAAGAAGCACGTAACACTTCCCAAATGTTAGAACTATGTATTGCATGTTATTTTTTTTTTTTTCTCCTCTCTTATTATTTCCATTGTCTCCTTCCAAACACCTTGCTACTTGACATTTTCACATGGTGCTTAGGGGGCTGTACTGATCATTCCCACCACTAACCGCACCTTATACTTTCTGTGTTTGCAGCTAAGGGATGAAACACAGGTAGACCAATTTCTACATATTCCTCTTTTCAAGACTTTCCCACATGTCACACGGTTTGTACCACATTAACAACTGCACTGTTTCCCCTATCATAATCTATTGACTAATTCCACCCAACATTTAAATTTATGGATTACGGCCTTATCTGCACTGAAACCCGTCCCCCGGGGAAGCATGGTAACCGCGTAAAGGCCTGCCAAAGCTTTTTTTTGGCGTAAGTTCATAAATCGGGGATCTGAGAAGATAGAACGCTGAAATCATAGTATGATGTTCCCTGTCCGATTAGGCTTTAATGCACTCAAACCCATCTCCCGGGAAAGCGTGGTAACCGCGTAAAGGTCTGCCAAAGCTTTTTTGACGTAATTTCATAACTCGGGGATCTAAGAAGCTAGAACGCTGAAATCAACGCTCCTGTCCGGCTGTACCTAGTGGGAGATGGCATGGAGCAGACATCCAAGTTGTCTGAAGGCGCTGAGGTATTTTCCATGCTTCGGACTGGCTGTTTACTTCAGAAATTACGGTTCGGCCTGCCTCGTAAGGCCAAGGGCCGCAAATTATTTATCAATTTAACCTTTTCCGGGCGCTCCACTTGGGCCGTCCACTTATGATTCGGCTTTCTAGTGGCCGTTACTTATCATTTTGTAAAAATAATGAATAAAAAGACAAGTTAATCATCTAATCTTTTTTTTTTTCAGTCAATATGTTATTTCTTGGATCAGCAAGGACAATATTTTGTGGATACAGCCGATCGCCTGGTTCAGCTTGCACGAGAAGAGCTCGTCACTGCGAGGTCCTGTTATTATGATAATTGGAAAAATTGCTACTGTTTTCAACAGCTTCGAAGCCCCTCACTCGTTCGTCTGTATTGCCATCCACAACTTCCCTTACACTGTACGAGGGTGTGGTGCGCATGTACGGCACCGTGGAAGTTTTTGACGGGAAAATGGCTAACTCGGGAACTAGGAAAGCCGAAGAGCTGGAGTTTTCAGGGAATTTTCCCAGCCCATGTACGACTTAAATTTATCAAACTCAGCCCCCCAGACGTGCGTGCTAAGTTGCCGTTTGCCTCATTTCTTGGTTTTCTGAATTTTGGTTATTTCGTCTTACTAACGGCGGCAAAATATCGCCTGCCTATTTCGACCTTCCCGTCGACCCAGCTTGAAATTACAGCTTAGGTTTGGGCTTTTATTGCTCCTCCATTTTATTCTATTTCACTCCAAATTGGAGCAGCTTCTGTACCTCAAGAACTGAACAGAACCTACAACCTTACAGAGTATTAGGTATAATGATTGTGGTGAGTTTTTCTTGCTAAACCGGCAAAAAAAAAAAATTTGAAGAGATCCGGAAATATTTATAGATGAATTTCAGGTTGCCGGCGTTTCAGGTTGCATCAGCCGTTGATGTACTCACATTGGGGACGTACCCACGACTTCCTCTGTGTATTAAGGTACCAGTTTTTTGCATAGAGAAGTACAGAACGTTCTGAAATAGAAAATTAAGTTTTACAGTGTACTGATAGAAGTAATTTCTTCATTTTTACCTTATTTTCCTTCCCATATTTTGGCCTCGGTAATTTTAAAATATGAAATCTTCCTTTACTTTTTTTTTTCAAGAAAACAGCCGCTTGAGTATTTTCCTATGTATAAAAACTTAGGATGAAGAGCAGGGCTCATGTGTATGAGTACTTATGTCATTTACGGTGGGAAAAAAAATTCAAGAATAATGTATTGGATATATAAAAGCACTCATGCACGTTGACCTTGCTCTTCATCCCAACATTTTCTACACAGGAAAATATTCGTGGAAGAAAAATATTCGTGAAAATATTCATAAAAAAAGCGACAATTTTTATTAAAAAAATAAAAAATTGTTTCTTTTTTTGTTTTAAATTACCGCGGCCAAAGCAATTCGAGCAGTTGTTGTAGGTGTACCATGTTAGTGATATTACTGGGATGCTCTCAAATACAAGAAATAGCTGTGGCAGGCTGTTAAATTTTGGTTTTAAATTTTGTTTTTCATTATTTTCACATTTGAACGAAACTGATTTGCGCCAGTTCTTGCAGAGTTCCTTTATTCCGGAGCCGCCGATAACGCCACGGGAAGAAGCTTGCGTGCTGGCACGTCTCAATCAAGTTATACAGAATCGAATTTCAAGTTATGGCTGCAAACTGTCTCCTCGCATTTCCAAAGCTGTAATTCGTAATGGAATGGTTAGTTCATTTAGTTTTGCAGTACTGTTCAACTTTTACAAGATAGTGGGTTTGGCAAAAAACAGGTACTTCATGGTTAAGGAAACTTAGTTTTGTGATAAATTTTTAAATTTCCGACTTTTTTTTTTTTGTAATATTAGAATGTGTTACACAAGCTAGTAGCAATTTAAAAAGACGAAGTTAAGGACAGTCTCGAGGACCAGAAAGGGTAGAGAGCTGAAACTTTGCAAGGATATTCTACGTGCATATGTGAGCTAAAGATTACAAATCCAGCCCCTGAGTGTGCATGGCTGTCATGCACGGGCACGTGAAAATTTTGTCGGGGCAGTGACAAACCAGACTGTATTTTGTACGAGCGGATATATTCATTGCTAAAGATCTGGTTTTTTATTAATTAGTGTGGAGATGAAGCAGTGATTTAGTACTGACTGACAAATTTCCGGTTGTGAGGCGAAAAAAACGGAGAAAAATTGATGAAATATATAAATAAGATAAAAATCATGAATAAGAAAACTAATATAATTATCTTTCTGAGTATCACGATAAATCATTAATCAAGTTTGGTCAGTTTTGTGATAAGCTACTCATGACCTTGATCTTTTCCTTTTGTTTTTTAACTTTTTATTTACTCAATTCACTTAATTACTGTTTACCTGTACCTCTAGCTAGACACTGAACAGGCTTTAGATGTAGTTCTATTGATAATTATGCAAAAAAATCGATTCCCTCAGAGATTCTTGTGGCAAAGTTAAAACATTTTTTGTAGGGATTTTTTTTTTTTGAAGTTCATGCATTTTTCCATATCCAGGCACGTAGGCGTAAAATGAGTTTTGGCGTTTGCCTGTTTTGCACTGTCGAATATGTCTCAAAGGTATTTGTAGCGAAAACGGATCTGGCAAACCTGCTAAGCTAGGAAGCTGAAACTTTACGAGACTCCCAATTAACCTACCAATCATCATTGGGACGAGAAAATGAGCCGATTTCAGCTCACAATGACGGTGGATGGTGAATTCGAGGTAGCACTAACAATGCTTGGTGAGCGAGAGACCACCAAGTGGACGCTGTTGAATATCCGGATCCTGGTCGAGGATTACGATGTCGGCTTCGGCACAAAACTGGTTCATCCACTACAAGTCAATATGCTACACAATGTATTGCAATTAAGAATGGATAAAAGCAAAGAGGTCAGCTTTTTTTTAGCTTAATTCTTTCATCACCTACTACCTACTTTCCCTCTTCTCAGTGTACTCCTCGTCGATAATTGACTCGATGAGGTTCAATATTTTTTCCTTCCTAGCTTCTTTCATCCACATAATTCCAGCTAAGCGTTCAGTGAGCTGTTCTGTATCACTGCTTTTTGTCCAGTTTTGCTAATTCAACTTTGTACAATTTTTATAAACAACTTTACTTTTAATTCCTTCTCCTCTTTCTTACCAAAACTTACATGTCCCCTCCAACATAGCGAAATGGGGTGCTGTACTGATGAATCCCGCCCCACTTCGCAGCGACTCAGCCGTCTGTGTCTACAGTTCAGGGATGAAACACAGACGTCGCCTACTCTAAATACCGGTTGGCATACCTGAGATACCTAAATGCCTTTTTTTTTGGATTTTGACCACATATTAAAGTTCGACTGTTTTCCTTTGTTGGTCTACACTACGACCAATTTACACATGTGGCGTAAGAAACTTCTTACCCCCGTCTTGTTTCAACCTTTTAAAACTGCTTAATTTCAATATTTTCATTAGCAGTGTAGTAGCATTCCAAATTTTCCAGTACTTTGTAAGTGTTGTAGAATTTCTTAGGATACAAACAGCAAATATTCTTGGCAAAAAGACTGGAACAGAAGGGGGGCCTAGAATTTTCTATATATTAACACATGCAGTTTGTTTGATGTTATTGGCCCCCCGTGGAAAGGAACACAATCAAATTTTGACAATGAAAACACTGGAAGTGCCATTTAGATCTCCCAAATAAGCAAGCCTGTATGTGCAGTAACTCTC